GCTTTATTAAATACTTTAATGGATGAATGGCATTTTTGGAGGCAATCAGTTTCATACAAATTTTTATGGTAATGGTAGTTTTTATCTTCAGTAGTAATACATAGTAAAGATTGCCTTTTTGTACTAAATTGTACAAAAATTCTTTTTCCCATCCGTATCCTTATCGTAAGATGTCTAAATTACTTACCTTCGCACTGCCGCTAAAACATAATGATATTTGTATATCTAACGTGATAATTTTCAAAACTCAAGAGACACATACTAATAACTATCAGTATGTAAAGCTGACTTTATACATGTATTGTTAATACGGAAAGGAATTTTTTCTAAACAAAGCAATTGTATTACACTACTTATTAAGGATACAGATTTGACGTATATGAGAGAAGTAGGAGTTTAAAATTCTTGAAATGCCATTGCAAAAAAAATTTTTAAGAGCGAGGCGAGCGTATACAATTTAAAAGTATTCATTGCACATTTCATTACACCATGTCTTAAAAAAAAATACGAAATATGATTACATTATCGCGAATCAATGAAATGTGTATTATCACACATAGGAAAAAAAATTGAATTGTTTTCTTTTCGTGAATTATTTTGCATTTACAATATGATCCCCTACATCCGTAGTAATAAGTTTATTTGCAACAGATGTAGGTTGTCAATTGTTCAAGGCCTATTAAAAGAAAAAAAAGAAAAAGTGTCCTAGACAATATATGTAAAATGTTAAATGGAAAAGCATATGTAATATTGGCTTGTTATAGATTGCCATTAGAACTATATTGTATACAAGCGTAATTATTATCTCACATATTTACACGGTATTTTTCTTTGTCGAGTGAATACAAATCAATCAGAATACAAATCAATTGCATTTTGTGCGCCATCGATTGGTGTTTGCTATTTCGGCATAAGCAAGAGATACCTGCCATCAAAAGGGATATATATCAGATATTTATACGCAGTGAAAAATATGCAACACAATGTATACATTGCATTGCGATTTCGGCTAGCAACAATTCATTTGGTACTGCGAAATTTCAAAAACTTTAGGACCAATATTGTTAATCCCGTGTGCTATGTACAGTGTTGTTAGGCTAATATAAAACATTATTTTCTAGCTCAAATCCATGTTTTCTAATCGTTAATTTAATCGGCATTAACATTCATTATTGTCATATTACACATGCGGATATATACGCCCTCGATCCTCTTTATCTTCGTGTAAAATTTGTACTTTCATAGGTAGAAATTTCTAACGATTATAGATAAATTTATTCAATGTTTGGCGTTAGGAAATAACATAGCGTTTACATACATTAAAGACTAAAATAATAATGATAAGAGATATCGTTACGAGGTCAGTGGCGTAAAGGAGTTATCGTATGTGGAAGTATTTACACCATTACGTATGTAAGACTTCATTTACATTACATGAATTTCATTTTCAATTTTATTGATTTAAGAATTTATTGCTGTGAGACGTCGAATGATTACGTCAAAAGTATGCGAGTGCTTCTAATAATTTTGAATTTGCTTTTATCGCACCTCGACTAGCATTGGGCTTCTGAAACAAGCTACGCTAACTTGTTTACTGAAACTAAAGATATTTATTAATTATGGAAAGATATATATATATATATATATCTAATGCTGAAGATACTTTAGTGGAACGGGTTCCGCATATGTGTACATACAGACATCCATCCTTGTATGTACATGGATGTGTAACGCGAAACGTAATCAAAGTCATTTATTTAACGATAGTTAAAAGTATAAATATTCCGATAAAAATATAAAACTTTAGAACTTTCTATGCAATAACTCTTATCCCTAGTAGTGCAATTCGCAGTAAGTGACGAAGAAGAACGTAGATATTTAACGCTGTTCATTTGATTTTTCGTCAATCGAGCAGTCTTATAAGTCTCGTATGTTCTAACATTATAAATTGGTAACAACTTTATTGAATAATAGTGATTCACACATGCTGCAACTGTTGACATTATATTTCCGATAGGTGAGCTTACGTTAAATAATCCTTATGATTATAGTGTGTGATTTGTAAAATGAAATAAAAAATTAAACACAAATTGTTTGTATTAATTGTAACTTATATGAAATAAAAGATTTATTATATACATTAAAGAGTGGTTTTTGTCCTTACTTTCATTTATCTATATACTTCATTTATCTATATACTTATATACTTATATACTATTTATGTCTCTATATTCATATACCGTTTACAATTGTGTACAAATGCACGTATTAAAAAATGGAAATACACGCTGATACTTCGAATTAATAAAAAATATATTTATACACATACAGTACAACTTACAAATTCCTATAAACAATAAATATCATGAGTTAAATTCGTAATCTCTCGAATACGATTGCAGACTCTTGAAACTGAATCGATTGTGACATAGCCATTCAAGGCATATTTGCTATTGTTTTTAAGGGTTGATCGAGATACTTGGCCAACGCCTGTGCTTTTTCGCGCAGTAATCCAAATCCTACGTTCTCCTTTGCATACAAACACAAAAGTAAATTAGCTACTTCCGTAATAACGACTTTTCCTTCCTATAAAAATCAGAAAGAGTATAATTCTTGACTTCAATAAAACAGTTAAGAAAACTCTAATCCGTTACTACCATGCAATCCATGAGAACGAACTGCAGTTCATCTTCTTTAAAGGCATTTCGCCCATTCTTCTCATAAGCTGTCCAAATGTTACTCGTGATAGCAGCTGTAACCCTAGCGTCCTTATCTCCATAACCACTGTATGCTAATAATCCACCATCTCTGTTGAGCAACCTAAAATATGTATATAAATATGTAATCAATATCTATTTAATGGTACTTTAAAACATGAAGACATTCTGGTATAATAATGAAGATGTAAGATTGTAGAATTTTCTATGTAATAACTTGTATTATCCAACAATTTACAGCATTATTATTAATATTACTCCCCTAGTATAAAGTTGCACAAAAATTGCAGCAATATTGCAAAGATTTTGTAACAATATTGCTGTAAATTCTGTGCTATATGGGCTAAGACATCGATTTTCGCGATTTCTAAATATTGTGCACAAAAACAATTAACAAAAAAAAAAGAGAAAGATTCATATTCTCTTGTGTAAAGTTACTTTTGTACGAATGACATATTTTAGAATGAAATCTGAAATACTGCAAGCGAATTTATACCGAAAAGAAATCAGCTTACACAACACTCTATTGACGCTGATCGCTGCAAAATTCTTACTCACAAAGTATTTTCCACGCCCCCGGTATTCGCCTGACTGAGAACCTGTGTGAGCGCCTTCGGCTTCAGCATTTTATTTTTGCTTTCAATACGAGCGCGATTAACAAATTCTACTTTATTATATATACATATGCATACGTAAGAATGTATATTGCAGCGAAGTGCGTGAAATTTATTTCACTTTTGTGAGCCTTTGATCTACGTCACTCCACCCTGCACGTTGCACGATCAGCTGTTGATCGCCGAATCAACAAACGAGAACGAGAGGGGGAAAGTTAAAAAAGGGGAGGGAATACAATCATACAATTCAACAATTGTTATTTCTTGAAACGTGCGAACAACAAAAACTTTACATTATCGTTATTTGTTGTTTGTAATTTCACATTATTCGATCCTCAGTTTATATCAATTTTACTCCATTTTAATAATGAAGTAATAATCATAAATCTTGAGATACTATCTTAGGCTATGTTCCAAAACTTTCTCTCTGAGGAAAATTTTACTCGAAATATATAGTACACGTAACGTATACTATAACATATACAGTAAAATCTTCCTCGGAGAGGAAGTTTGGGACGTAGCCTTAAATAACATGCCATTGGAGAAAAAAGAGACATATTTATGTAAGTTGCGAAAAAAGTTTAGATGCACAGAACAAATTCGTTCGAAACACGTAGGAAGAATATTAGAAACAATTAATATGAAACTATATCAATTTGTTCTTAATCAATTTTTACATGGTTACGATTGCTTGTGAAAATACGGAAAATCACGGGAATCAATTTATTTATAGTACATATATTCTTAGAAAGAGACATGAGTCGTTATCATGAGAGGCAGAAATCAATGGAAATTTCGAGAAACAGCTCCGAGTCACGAGTGTCGCTTTCCGCTACTTCGACTATCTAGAGTCCCTAAAGTAAGAGATCTGGACAATTTCATCAAATATGGCGTGCGTATATATGCTTACACACATGTGCGTTTACACAATTGACAATTTGTACAATCGGCGCAATTGTGCCTAAAGAATTTTATAACAATTGCAAAGCTGTTTTTTCTGCTGGAGTAGTCATCAGTTTGATGAAAAGTGGTAGTCATTCATAAAAATAGAGGAATATCTTTGGCCAGACTCTTACTCTAGGGACTCTACTTCGATTACACAACTGACTGCTGAATCGCGAAAGACTGCGCAACATCTATGAAATCTATCTAGTATTTAGTCAGTCTACCGTGATCAACCAAGCTAGGTTCAAGGTGCGATTACTGTTAATATAATTTCGAGTAACTTCACGAGTTTTTCTCGTATTTTTGTAACGCGATCAAAAGAGATTTGAGAAAGATGCCACGACGTGGACGTGCCGCCGCTCCTCCTCCGAGAACGTGAGTAATTAACGTATCTTTAATGGCAAGATAATAAGTTCATTGTGACGAAAACGTCATTACTCATTGGCGCTCCGCGTTACATCACTATGACAAAGTTCACATCTCTAACGCAGAACTTTAAATGTCGTTCTTTTCCTCCCGAATGCGGTATTAAACGAATCCTCTGAAAAGTAGCTTTGTTTTAGTGTTAGACAGAGTTCATCTGTAGCCGCGCCAGCTCCATCCCGAGTGCCAGCCCATGCCCCGCCGGCATCACCAATGGTGGCCCAGCCTCAGCCATCCCTCATGGGCCAAATGGCTGCCACTGCTGGTGGTGTCGCCATCGGATCTGCTGTGGGACATACCATTGGTCATGCTATGACAGGACTCTTCAGTGGAGGCAGCGAGGCTGCTACTCCTGTTGCCGCAGAAGTACCACAAGCTGCTGCTCAAAACACTCCTGCGGCATCAGCTGCTGGTGCCTGTTCTTGGGAGGTCAAACAGTTCCTGGAATGCGCTCAGAATCATGACTTGAGTCTCTGCGAGGGCTTCAATGAAGCACTCCGTCAATGCAAGCTAGCCAACAGTCAGTAAATCTTGCTCTCTTATCTTTAGATAAGAGATATCTTTAGATACTTTCTAGCAACAGATACTAATAATACAGTATAACATAGATAATTATTAACATTGTTGTTTGTCAATGTTGGATAAAAATGTTACATCGTGGATGTTTTCCATTTGGGAGGGGGTTTTTCCATTCTACTTGATGTTCACAATATCATTTTATCCTTGTTTCAAATTAAATAAAAAATAAAATGATGAACACAACACAAATAACATTCTATTTTTTGATACTCACTGAATGCAAAAAAAAATAATCCTTTTATTGACTTGTGTCACTAATGGAAAGCACTCTGTGTTTTACTAAAAAGCATCTACAATATACTTTTTGCTTCGTGTTTCTTGCTTTTTATTACCCTTGCCTTTTTATCCTGTTTCTTCATTTCCTGTCTGAGATAGAATTTGGCAAATTTCAGAAGAAACAAGAAACACGATAAAACGATTGCAAAGAGCAAAAAAGCAAGAAACAAAAAGAACATTGAAGATTATCAAGCTTTTATAATTAGATCATATAAAGAGATTGCTGTCTAATTGTTTCATGTATTTTCTGTTTTCAGATATTATGTAAATTGAGATGCGGCGAATCTAGAAATGTCTAGGCGAAATTAAAATACATGCTCTACGATCTGTAGACCATTAATGAAATTTCTGTTTATTTTTACTATTGTTACACATTGTAGAATAAAAATAGTTCTGGATCAATCCATAAGATAGTAATAAATTTATTTCTTTAAATTCTGTAAGTTGGCAGCTGCCTTTAATCTTTCCTAAATTATACACGAACATATGTATGTTACAATATAGCAATAAATTAAAACTTAAATAAAGTTACACTTTAATTTCATTATTAATGAGAAAATTATAAATACCTAATCGCATCATTTTTCGAGAATTTAGAATATATTTGCACATCTTAAAATTCACTAAAATGGTAGATTGTGTGAAATGAACAAGAAATAGACAGTATAGACAATGCCTCATATTTTCCCACTTTATATTACAATACATTAAACAAATAACTTATTACAGAAGATGAAAATAGCTTTTATAAGATGATATACTGGGATGAGGATTCGACAAATAAAAACTTCGGTATTCTGACCAGAACCAAGTAAGTGCACCTCTACACGCAAATATTTGCACTTTATTATATAGTTTTCTCTAATACTTAGCTATTGTATATTTCAAAAATTAGTGTGTGATTTATGAATACACACACATATATATATATATATATATATGAACTTC